ATTCTTAGCTGATTAGGCAAACATGAAACCTTAAGCACTAACATCCGAGAGGAGAGAACAACAAAAATAAATAAATAAATAAATACACTAGGCAGTAAGTCTAACTATTAGTATGGACACCTGGGCAGAAAAAATATATGTACCAAACATCAAGATTTCTCACATCTAGGCAAGCAAATCAAATCTGATCATTCTGTATATATGGAACAAAAGAGTCTTCTTTTCCACTTTCCTCTTATGTTCTTTCTCACTATGAAAGCAATAGAAAAATGAAACTAAAACCATTTGCAAATATGACCAGGAAAATGATTGAACTAACTTGTTGAATGAAGCTGAGAGTCTCCAAAACACTCACATGGAGACATTCATTGGATCTACAAACAGCCAACACAGTATTTCTCAAAAGGGTATATGTACTGTCTTTTAGTTCTCAAAAAAAGCAATTATCATCTTTACTTAATCTTAAATCTACTTCCCTATAAATTCAGATCCTGAACAAATACGCAAATTTCATCACAAAATACCTGCCTGTGTGTATAAAAACCTTTGGACAAATGAATGCCTAACCTTACATTTGTCATCTATGTTTTATCTCTATTTATCTCTTCTTAAACATATCCTGCCCCCCCCCCCCCTAAAAAAAAAAGTCCTAGGTGAATTAACATTTCCAAAAACCCCAACAGCAAAAAAAGAAAAAGAAAAAGAAAAAAGAAAAGAAAAAATAAGACAAGTAAATACAAAAGTGCCGTTCCACAATTACTTGCTCACACCGAGGGGGTTGTATGTGTGCCAAAGGGAAGTTCTTGTGAGGACTTTGGATCGAGAATTTTGTTTAAAAAACAATTATAATATAAAAGGACTTCTCTCTACCTACAACATCCATCATCCAACACAAAAGAAATAACAGCACAAAGAGAATAGAGCAAAATCCGCACCAACTAATTACCCAACGTCATGAGGCATCGGCTCCTAAATGCTACTGCGGCAGCAAAACAGATTAGTGCGTTACCACGTCATTACGTTATAGGGGCCAATCTGGGGCGTGACACAACACAAGAGAAAATTGCTGTTGTTGCTGTTTGTTGTTGTTGCTGTGGTTTTGTTGTTGTTCAGATTTATCAATTCAATTTTTTTTTTTTATTCAATATTGTCCATTCACTTACTTTGTTTTTGTCTTAAAAGTCTTAGAATGATGAAAGAAACCAAAAAAATTTCCAAAACTAAGTAAAATTTCTTTAGGCACCTCTTCCCTATGTAACCAATAATAATTTCTTTTAAAAAGTAAATTAGAACAAATAAGAAAATCAGAAATGACTGATAAACCTAAAAATTTCCACACACATCTGTAGCCAAACTCTTCTTACAGTTGCACAAACCTTCCCTTCATTAAACATAGATATTGTAACACCCTATATAAAAAAAAAAGTTTTGATACCCCTATAAATCTAGAAACTCAAAAGAGTATAACTTTCACCAAACCTCATTTACCAATCTCTCCGTAACGAAATCCACTCATGCAAAGACTTTCTTCCTCTATCTCCTTCAATAAATTTCAGGTGCATTAAGAGATTTTACAGTTTTGTGAAGACGAGCCAATATGAGCTGAGGTTGCTGCATCTTGCTAAATTGGCCTAATCAGTCTAATGCAAATACAAACAAAAATGCTTGGAAAATATCACACTTAAATTTTCATCAACCTATCTGCCACAAGAACCCATGATAAATCACATGATAATTAGTTAGTGATTAAAACAAAGGTATTCAACACTGACCCTATATGCTATTTTTTTTTTCTTCTTTCTAATCATTCTTTTCTGGCCCATTTTGCACAACCAGCCACAGACTTGCAAAACTAATTGTCAATAAACTTTAAAGAAAATATCAATAAAGTAAAAAAAAAATATCATACTATTACTACCAATAATAACTTCTCTAACTGTCATAGCAATGGTAGCTACAGCCACTCCATTTAAATAATATCTCTCATAAGCTTTGGAATGTTGACAAATCAAAAACAAACAAATAAATAAAAAAACATTCAAAATTAGGGACCCACCAAGCCAAAGTGTCTAAGTCAAATCACAACACTTTTTTACTTTGGTTGTGTTGATGTTTCCATCCATTACCAAAAATCAAAAATGAATGTCAAATTAAAAAAATAAAAAAAAACGAAAAAAAGAATGAAAAAATCTGAGATAAGGAATACAGACGTGTTTTATACTCACAGGATGGGGAGGCTGTCAAGGAAAGTTCATATGTTATGTAACTATCTTTCTTTTTTTATCTCTTGTTTCTCTCTTGGTTTCTCTTTTTTTTTTCCTTCTTTTTAAAACTTTTCTTTGTGAAGGTAATTATTCAAATCAAAGAGGTGAATAATAAAAAATGCACATATAAAAAATACACACCAAATCCCCTAAAATGCAGAGTACATAAATAGAATAAAAATAAAATAGTAATATGGGGGAGAATATATCACGTAAAAGTCCAAACCGATACTTACTGCGATGGTTCCTTGCCGTGGGTATTTGGTGGAGGCCACATAGGAGCATTTGACAGTCAGGACCACAGCATTCATAAGGTTCTTAGCTGCTTGAATGAGGGAGGTGGCGGAGTCCAGCTGCAGGAGGAAGTAATAAGAATTTAAAATACATGTCAGAGTCAAAGACATATTCCCAATAGCATTAGATTTAACCACTACAATCCAGATGACATAACCATCACGTCATGAAAATATTTGGCTTGAGAGCGGCTTGAGGGGCAGCTTGAGGGGCAGGTGACATGAACATGCTGTCATGGGAAAATTTGGCTGTGGGCCAGGGTGATACAAACTTGCCATCTTGAGTATTTCAGCTCAGAGGATGATGACACTCATTTGGCATTCCAGGCAGCTATGACTGGCAACATATAGTCTTGTCACCGCACACGAGTGTTTGTATGCACCTAGCCTACAAGCCTCATACCCGTCAGAGTGGCTGATCAATTAAGCCTAATGCCCATATTTTGGGCCATGTGATGGCAGTGAAGCATCCAGATCCAATGGGTAAATGAAATAAATTATGATCCAGGATAAAATTATCAGTTTTGCTTTATGAACTCTGTCACTTGCAAGAACTACGATGGTGCCTTCTTTTGAAGAACTTGGTATGCGGCAGACAGAAACAGCTATTCCAAGTGGATGCTCTTCCTAAAATTCTGATCCTAGCATGACCTGAAGCTGCTTTACTTGGCAGCATGTTATCATTGTACCAGTGACCCTAAACTCATAAGATAAAAATAATCTAAATTCCAATGCTCCCTGATGTAACCTACTAGTAAAAGTCAGGAGGTTAACAGAAGATATATATTGAAAGTAAAGCAAAATCAATACATTCATACAACCAATAAACTCATTCCATACAAAGCTTGTGTCCTCACCAAGAAATGCAGGTCAAAAAGTAAAGTGCTCTTTCATGTAATATTACATCTTCATTCCATATATCTAATTTAATACCATTTAATATATCCACTATTTAACGTCTAATAAATCTACTGTATACTTAATGAATAGTCCAATGTCCATTATCTAACACCCATTCATACCCTCATTCACTCTCCTCAATTTATACGTACCCCAGACACAATGAGTTCTCCAGAGATGTTCTGTACGTCAGCCTTGACCTTGGAGGTGATGTTGAGCTGGTGGCAGTAGAGAGCAATGCGGTCAAGGTATGCCAACATGTCATCCTTGGTGCGTGACTCAGGGCACTGGTCGGCAATCTGACGGGAGAGCTTGTCCAACTTTGTGCCTGCCTCTGAAATCTTCTTTGCAGCATTGATGACGTCCATGGTAGTCTTGAGTGGTCCTCGACCCCTGTGGTGCAATAAGGCAGAAAATGTATCATGTCAAGTGATCAGTTTACAAAGATGTTATGGATATTTAATACCAGGCCTCTGTGGCTTGGATTGAAGTCCCCTAACAACGAGGACTACCTAAGAGGACAAAAATAATGCCCCTAAAAGCCTCCACTCCCCTTATACCTACCTGGTAAAATCTGTCATCTCCATCATGATCATGCACATGTGCTTAGCCAGGACAATGATGTCGTTGCCTGTGTCGTCCCACTTGGCCACCTCCTGGTCGAACTTGACCTTCTCCAACCGGAAGTTCTCCACCTGTTGGGCAATCTTGTCCTTGTCCTCCTCACTCAGGTTCCTCATGGCGTCTCTGGCCGTCGTGATGCCACTGACACCCGGGTACTCGTCAATGGTTGTGTCCACAGTGTGTGCACTCGCTGGAAGATTGGGTCAAGGCCATTTACATTTAGATGAACTGACGAGATAAATCCATAGCAAGAAAACTGAATCAGTACTTAATACTAAGAAATAAAAATGTTTTTGAAGTGAACTTGATGAATTTTTGAATATATATAGTGCTCTATACAGTTTATAAATTTTCATAAACAGAGTAAAAGAGAAATATTATCAGTAATATATCAACTAGACACATTCTTATAATATAATGATTCTCAAAATAGCAGCAATAATTGCAACAGTAAAAGTTATACACCAGAAAGATATATAATACACACCAACACCTCCAATCTAAAACCATAATACTCACACTTGCTCCTGATCTCCAAAGTGTGGTACTCATCCATCAACACGTCATCAGGATCTAACTCATCGTCGGCCTTATTCATCAGAACAGCCATGCGGATCTCTCGCACGCCGTCATACACCAAGTGCGAGGCATCAATAAACTCGTTCTCGTCCACCTCTTTGCCTGGCGTGCTACTTAGGACCTCAACTGCCACGTCCACGCGCTGGGCAAAGTTTGGCAGCACTGGAAGAGAATTTACAAGGTCAGAGGTAATACAGTAAGTGCTGAAAAAAAAGGGAGCAGTCAGAATAAACTAATGAATAATGAAAATTAAGATATTCACCCATTGGTCACAGAATGCATTATATCAAGCACAAACCCAAACACTTAATTCCACCTATTATTTAACCCAATACATTAACCCAATCTACTTACCCTGGTCTCTCAACACCTTCACTGCCTCCAAGACTCGATCAGTGTACATGCAGGGCTCATAGTTATCCATTTCTGCTGCAACCACATGGCACACACGGGCGGACCGGCCCCGGATAGCACCAGCAATGCGGTCTAGAGTGTCAGGGTCGCCTTCGTTGATGGCTCGTACACATGTCTTCACGTCCTCTAATATGTGACTCTCTGGAAAGATTGATGTAAGAATGATAATACTTCCTTCTTTTCTTTTTAATAAAGATGTGTATTTATACATCAGACTCCCTTATTCTAAAATAGACAACTAAATCATGGGTAATAACAATAAATTACAACTCAAAGCAATTGAAGTATTCAAAAATAATAGCAGTCCAAAACATAAACATACCTGAAACAGCAAGGAAGTCATCAATGGTTGTGATATCATCCACCGACTCTGTAAGGATGCGCACCTGGTTCTCCCAGGCATCCTTAAAGGCATCCATGTTCTCCTGAGCAACCTGAGATAATACCAAAAACAAGATAAACAGCAAGCACAAGGCATAAACATACACTTAAGCAGTAACCAAAAATATCACAGTGAGCACTGCTTCATTTAAAATCTCTTGAAGAAGGTCCTCCCACGCACACCAAACACACCTTGGATTTGGGCCGAGCTGCAAGAATGCGAGCAGCATTGATGACCTGAGGGCAGAGGTGTTCTATCTGCGCTGCACCATAGCGCACCATCTTCACACCATCCTCATTGTTGGACATGGTGCAGGCTAAGTTTGCAACCTCCACTAGCTTGTTTGCATGTTCAGTAAAGACCTAGAAGACGAGAAAGAATGAAAGATAAATGTATGGTATAGTTAAATTCCACCAAGGAGATAGGTGAATGCAGAAGAGTGCATTCCATGCTTATTCAATTACAAATATACAAATACTGCACACTGATATCCACATATCTAATCATTAACATTGAGTCATGATAAATGCACGTGTATTTGTCCCTTTTTGCCAATAGTTAGTCAATCCATTATTCCCTATTAAGAAGCCTGCTGTCCACTCACCTGAGCGTACTCCTCCACTTCCTTCTCGTTGCCATTCCTTGCAGCTTCAACTAACACTAGCAGTGGTACATTTGTCTCTAAGAAACTGGAATTCAAAAGCAAGTTATTCAGACACACAAACTGACAAGTTCCTCTGTACACATAGCTAAGTTTAATGAAACTAAGGTGATGAAATGAATATGAACTAGTAAAAAACACACACAAAAAAAGATATATATAGATTAAACCCTGAGAAACAAATAAAAATTGCATTATTACTAAATAACCACACATAAAACTGATTACTAACTTTTAGCTACAGACACGAATATTCAGAGAGGTTCAAAATATACAAACATAAAAGACAAATTAACAGACTCTCTCTCTCTTTCACTTTAATGAAAAAAGGATGTCTCAAGTAATCCACAGGATTTCAAACTCAAAATCTCTCACAGGCCACTTTTCATTGCAGCTATCAACTTGAGGGATGACAAAGGATTAAAACTTACAGTATTTACCTATACAAAAAGTTTTTTTTTTTTTTTTTTTTTTTTTTTTTTTTTTTTAGATTTTAAATGATAAAACTAGTGATAACAATGCATCTGACATTATATTCCATCACTGTGATCATAATTTCTCTGGCTAATAATTCTGATCACCCTGCAGGCCACTTGTGACTATCCTGAGGGCCCAATGTGGGTCATGAGTTTGACATCCCTGCCATACATTACTCAATATATAAATGTACAAAAAAAAAGAAGAAGAAGAAGAAAAGAAGAGGAAGAAGAGGAAGAAGAAGAAGAAGAAGAAGAAGAAGAAGAAGAAGAAGAAGAAGAAGAAGAAGAAGAAGAAGAAGATATATCAATGATAAAACTAATAACAAAATAATTAATACAAAAAAAATAAAAAAAAATAAAAAAATACCCACCTATCTGAAACGTGATCAACTACGGCTTTACGCAGTTGACGTCTAAGGTCCTTGGTCTTGCGATACATGTGATCAATTGCCTTGTCCAGATTTTCAGAGGGCTGCTTGCGTCCCATCTGCAAGCGGGGAAAAACAATGTAAGACCTTAACTGAATTATCAATAATAAACATATACATGTGTGAAATAATAAATTGAAATATAATCACATGAACTGCCTTCTTTCTTAATACGGCTGTTTCTTTTCCTATTAACTGAGCTCCAAATACAAAAATGACTGGAAACTATTTTTTGGAAATCTTGTACTTGTCATGTACTGTAAATACATGAACACACCTGAAACATTTATACCAAGAAGCTACTCACAGGCAAACAAATATCAAACCAAAATGAATCCCATCTGAGCCGAAAAGACGCATCCAATCCATCAAAACACTAAAAAGGGGCGAAAATCCCCATCTCATCAGCTTATCACAATGGCAAGATATCTAAAATGCTCGGAACAAAAACTAACCATACCAGAACTACAACAAAA